CCTCTTCTTACGCCAAAAACTTGCTACCGCCACCATTCGCTCTAACTATCTAAGCTTCATCTTTTCCATTGAATAACCTCCCATTCTCCAAGCTTCCTTTTTTTTTTATACTCCATCCTTTCTCGTAAATTCTATTTCTATATTTTTCACCTTTATTTATTTTACCTTTTTAAAAAATTAATTATTTACTACTACATTTTGACAACATATCATATCAGTAAATATTCAAATAAAGTAACCCATGACCGAAAAAAAATATATATTAATGAAATTGTAGCAACGACCTCAGAGGTCACTCAATCTCCAGGTATATTATTATGTTTATTTATAATTACATTTGTTTAAGATATGTTATTATAACCCAATGCTACTTTTGATATTGATATATCAATAAATATTAATTAATTAGATAATAATATTATAAAAAAATTAGTATTAAACCATATATTCATTTAACTTAAACCACTGAGGCATATTTTGTTGATAATTCGAAACTTGCTTAAAATTATTAATGAATGGTTAAATTAATCTAAAATGATACTAATCAAAAGGATCAATCAATATTAAAGTTGCACTATACTATTATTGCTTGCAAGATCAAAAAATGTTGATTGTTAAATTATTTAGATGTCGATATATTATTTAGCAATATAATATAATAACAAAATTGTAGTAACTCCAATCTCTCAAATCTAGGGATTTTTTTAATTATTGAAAATTAAATTTGTTTAAGATATATTATTGTTGCTGGAAAATCAAAAAATATTGATTAATTATATGTTATAATATAATATGGAAAATAATAATAAACCATAACCTAAATTATTTAAAATATTTTGGGAGTAGTTAAATTATTTTAAAAGAAACTTTTCAAAATGATCAATAATATTGTTGTACTATACCATTGCAAGATCAAAAAAAAGTGTATTGTCAAATTATTTAATGTCCTTGCATGTTTTTAGAAATAATTTATTAATATTGTAGTAACGACCCCAGTCTCTCAACCTCCAGGTATATTATTACGTTTATTGAAAAATTACATTTGTTTAAGATATGTAATTTTTCCATTACTTTTGATATTGATCAAAAAAATATTAATCAATTAGATATTAATTTAATAGGGAAAATAGTAGTTAAACAATATACTCCCTCAACCTCAATCGTATTTTTTATATAAAATATTTAGTATTTAAATTAATATAAAAAATTAACCTTTCTAAATGCATGTGCACAATACTATTGTAAGATTAAAAAATATAAATAATTCAATATATGATGTCAATATAGGATACTCGTCAGATTTTAAAACTAGCAAATATGCTAACCTACCAGATGAATATAAATTTATATCAGTTGCAGCCAGGCGCTTACCCTAAATAGAATGCTTGGCAGAAACATAGGATTAAATCCAGTGGTACGAAAAATGACGTTTACTTACACCAGCGCTTAGAAATTTCGATTATAAAATCTAATTTCATAGGCTTCATGAGTTCCTTTCCGGAGTAGCTTGATGATTTTGATCTTTTCCTCCTTCCCTTCATTGTTTAATCTTCTCTATTTCTCTCAAATTATTATACACATATAATCTTTTTTGAATACTAATTTCTGTATTATAAATTTTGACTTCATATATTTTATGAAGTTTAAAATTTTTACCTTTAACATAATTCTAAATAATAAGTATTGTCGTTTCAATGCTTTAATCATTCAGAATCTCCTTTAATTTATTATTATTATAAACATGTATAAATACATAATACACCTACACCCTCATAGTCTTAAAACTTTAAATTCATAATTATTAGACTAATCAAAAAAGTTTATACATTGTTATTTTTGCAAAGATACTACTTTTGTTTGTACAAATAAATGTTGATCTTTAAATAATATTCAATACATTATGTCTATATATTATTTAGCAATATATAATTTAATAACAAAATTTAGCAACCACTTCACTCCCTCCTCAATCTTCAAGTATATTATTTTGTTTAAATTTATTATGTTACCTTAAACGAAATCAATTTTTAAAAAAAATCCTTTTAATTATAGTTCAAACAATGTTATTGTTGTACAATAGTTATACTCTTAGTTTTTTGATAGATCAAAAAAATGTTTATTTTAAAAAATAATTCCATTTATAATGTAATAACCTCACCATGTATTTGTTAGATAATAATATAATACCGTATAGTAGTAAACACTGCATTCCCTCAACAACCCCCTGTGCATTAGTATTAAATCTAAATATTTCTCGTATCGATTTCAACTCAACCCCAAGTCGGTGCAACAAATATATAAAAATCTAAGAATCAAATCCCCTCATTACATTAAGCAACGGCTTAATGGGAGTAAAAATTAACTATTTATTTTGCTCATATGAACACAAAAAATTATGCTCAAAATTCTTTGCCATAAAAAGACCCGGTAAATAATTTAACCACAATTAGAAATTTAATCAAACAATGAGTTGTCTTTTAATGAATATGGTTGGGACACCTTTAAATTCTTAATATCAAATTTATCACCACTAATGAAAAGTTAAAAACCTTTAAAGAATCCCTAAATTCAAATATTTTTTTAATAAATTATATAAGGCATTCCATAGACTCCTGTGTATTACATATATAGAGCCGTATAAATAAAAAAGGTGATAATCTTTTGATACAAGAATTAAGGCCGGAAAACCTATATCAAAATGTAATCTCATCCCTAAATCATCAAGGGTTACTTAAAACGCCTGTTTTTTAAGCGAGAGCAAATTGCAATTTAATTGCGGAAAGAACTCCAATTACAGTTCTTTATAACAGAATTATTGTATATCGTTTTTTCGATAGATTTACCTTTCACCCCTTAACCCTGATATTTTATATCAGATAAAAGGGTCCAATTAGAATCATCATTTAACTAAAATGTGGAGATGTTAATGAAATGAAATAGCCAAATGATTATTAGCTGCAGAAGGTTAAAGAAACACATAATTTTAAAAAAATATCGTAAATACTGTGTATAAAAAAATATAATCATCTTACATTTAAAGAAATTATCAAGTTGTGAAAAGATACTTTTTAAATGGATCTAGATACCGATACATAGTCTAAAAAGTTATCTAGATCCAGATACAAATAAATAGTCTAAAAAGTTATTTTAATACTTTTTTAAAATGTATCTAGATACAGATACAATTTTTATTATATACTCTTATATAAGCTTTACACTCTGTTGTGAAAATGAAAAAATTTATCGACTCGAAATCACTTATTAAAATATAAACAATGATTTTTAGATTTTAATATAATATGTGATTATAAATAATTATTAGATTTCAGTAATAAAATATTTTGGTCATTAAGGCATCCTCGTTTATCTGTAAAGACATTTTTAGCTAAACTAAAAAGTCTTTCTACCAGGGCGCTTAAAGAGTTTGTGATGTTATATTTTATGAATAACAATTTTATACCAGGATATTCTTTAGAAAATACTAAAATCTCGACCATTCGTTTTTGAAAAATTATTTAAAATTTGTTGAGTATCAAAATTTAAATCATTATTATCAATCATATCTGCTGCTGTGGGGTACCGAAGAAAATCTAATATTAACATTTGTAATTTGTTTGCAATCAGTTGAAGACCTTGATAATTCATCAACTATACTTTGTATTAATTGTTTTTTTCATTAACAGTGTTTAATTTCTTCTCTTAAAATTTAAAATTACAATTGTAAACATTTATTTAGTATCTATACCCTTAAATGTTTTACAATGTTACAAGTTGAGGTAATGCTAACGGAAATTTTCGTATTTTTTGGTAGATATGGCAAGCATTATACTATCAGAGTTTTGTTTTCTTTATTTTGAGATATTATTTTAAAATATGCTCTATAAAGGCCATGGAAAAAGAATGTCTGATCTTGTTGATGCTTCATTGATTATTACTTCATCCTCTTAATCACTACTAATATTAAGCTAAAATAAATTTTTAAAATTAGTTAAATAAAATAAAATTAGCCAATTCCATTGAAAATAAAAATAGCAGATTCCTTGAGTTACATTGTAATATCAAAATTTGTATGGGTCATTGATAAACTCGGACATATTTTTTTATATATAAGTTTTAATATTATATATATATAATTTTTTATTATAGTAGTCTTTATATTTTTATTAATAATATAAAAAACCTTAAATAAAAGGTATATCAAAGGGTATCTTAAAAAGTATCTAAAAGCAGATATAGATACCTCTAAAATAATATCTAGATACAGATACAGGATATTTAATCAAAAATATATCTAGATACAGATGCCACATATTTATATCTAGATACTCTAACAACTCTGGTAATGATAGTCAAGAGCCATCATCAGGGCATCAACGGCTTCTTGTGAGAACTCGTTCTTTACACTAAAATGAGTTCTGAGAATTAGAGACTCGAACGATCGTAAACAAAATTTAGTATTTTCATGGCTTAAGATAAAAGATAAAAATTATAACAAAAAATCGTCGTATTAATTTGTATATATTCATATTTACAAAAATATTTCTACAAAGGTGTCTAACTTTTTGTTTTATTTTTAAAAAAAAATATTGCCACCTCCAACCCCCCCTCCCCCTGCTTCAGCAAGAAATTCCTGGTTCCCTGGACATATGGTGAAATTTAAAAAAATAATATCTAATGATGAAAGTCCTCATTGCACATCAGGCAACTTTACTCTTAATACAGTTAATTATACTCCTTTAAGCTTAGTTTATTTAATTTATTACAACAATTTAGTTGAATTTAAAATTCTTATTTGCTACCAATTGGCATTAGATCTTTTTAAAATTCCTCTCTTTTCTTCTCAATTCCATGTTGAATAATCTCAAAGGGGAGCATTAGAAATTCGTATAAAATCAAAAATACAGCGAAACTGTAGGATTTTATTTTAATATTCGGTTAAAACCGAAATCTCTATTATGAAATCACACTAAAAATTTCCTTAAAAATTATGGTCGGCTAACCTGAAATTTGTCATCGCCGCATCTTTTAACCGATTGGTATTCCGCGGAATCTAGAAATTCGCAAGGATAGATATGATACAAAAGCTTATTATCTTGATCGAACGCTGTCGCTCTTATTTTTGACATAAAATATTTGATTTAAGAAAAAAAATTTTTTTTTAAAAAATGTCAGTTTCCCAGTAAAATAATGACACGAAATGACGATCAAATCCATTCGACAACAAATACAATTTACTTCTTTTTTTTTACAAAAGACAAAGCGTTTTATTAATCAATAAATAATTTCGCTTTTAGCATTCGTGCCGGCATAAAAAACAAGAGTTAACATCGTAAGAAGCGGATGCGGAATATTTTTGGCCACGGGGATTTAAGGATTAAACGGAATTACCTTCCGGTTAGTAATATGGATAGCTTATCGTTAACGGTGAAATTTCTCAGGGCATAGGTTTCGCCGGGTTTCAACTGTTTTGTGTAACAGCTGTGAGGATTTCCGAACTTTTGAAACCACGTTACATCGACCTTAATTTATATAGATATAATAAGAAATTAAATTTTAAGCCATACTTGCAAAGGTCGAAGTTTGGTGTCGTAAAATGAGCAGAGTCCCTTACCCAACTTGAGAGGTCCCGCTTTATAAAAAGCATATAACATCTGGGAAAGATTTATGAGCACAAATACGAAATTCCAAGCAAAGAGGTGAGAAGAACATATGATGTTCCAGGACCAATAACAGTATATCAAATAACCTAGGTTGAAGGAAACAAATAATATAATATAAGGCAAAAATTTTATTATTTTAATAGATATCAAATATATTACCATCAGCTAAATAAATCATAAAAAATATATATGGATAGTTTTAACTTTAAATGGTGGGAAATTTAGTCTTAAATAATGTTGATTTAGCGGGTAAAAGAAAAATTGACGGTCTTATTCACTGTTAAATTTTATATATGCACACCGTATATGGTGACCATTGGTTAGATGTTAAAGGGCAAAACCTGAGTTAACGGTAAGAGTGGACCATGGACACGGGCCCTGAGGTAATAATGAACGCTAATGATGTAACTCTTTCGGATTACCATGGATAGTAGCGTTCAATTTAGGAATGCCTCATCAAGTTACGATTAAACAGGTGCGGAATTCGGTTAAGGATGTTTTGGACTAATATAAAACATCGAATTTTGCTATTGAGAAAGAAAAATGTCGAGTAGCAGTAGATTCTAGCATTGGTTAGTAAACATCAAGAAATTTTCGATGATAAGATGGGACATATAAGTGATTTTGCCATGCGAATAAATTTTAAAGGATAGCCCGTAGGGTATTATTTCCGCTTCGCAAAGCAACTGATATTGGATTAGACCTTACTAGTGGCTGCGGAAATTATAGAAAAGATTGAGTCAAATATAATCCGGGTACATTCGTCAACGCCAACCGTAAATGCGCGCAAAAACAAATGGCGACTATCCATGAGCTGATTTCAAAGTAACGTTTAATCCGTGTTTAATGCATGACCATCATGTTATTCCTTTATACGATTTGTTAGAGAAAATTTAAGGTGGTGATAAATTGACAGAGATAGATCTGAAGGACGCGTACTTACAGATGGAAGTAAAATCGGAATTTCAGGAGTTTCTAAAGATAGCTACTCGAGCGGGTATTTCGTTATCGACGAATGCCTTTTGGATTGGCAAATGCCAACTATTATATTCCAGAGATATGTGGATGAGTTGTTAAAAGATTGGCAAATGACCGGTGCCTGCTTAGATGAATTAGAAAACTATAAGAATATCATAGATTTGATTATATATTCATTTATTTTTTAATTTATCAATTTTAGAATGTTCTCCAAACATTTTTAAGTTAAATTTTCTCAATAAACCTCTTTGGTAAACGATTTCTTGATGAACTACGTAATATAGTATTTGTAAACTGCTTCATTTACTGGCACAGCTACCTCGGTAATATCCGATGAACTTTCATGAGTCGGAATAATTGAACAATCTCTTGGCTGATCTGCATGTTCCCGCAATATTCTCTCGGGAGTTTTGACTACATATGAATACAACCCTGTCAGTTCTTTAATCACCTCCAAACTTTGGTATTCTCCATTGTTTATCCAAATAGGTTGCGATCTCCAATTCTCTCATCATGATTTTTTCATTTACCTTTTAAATCTCATGTTATACAATTGTCTGCCATCCATAATATTGGCAGGAGATTTCCCTGCTGAGCTATGCTCCCAAGTCGATAGGTTTGTTAAAACTTGCGTCATAGCATCTACTGGGTTAGAAATTGACTCTCTCGATGCTTAATATATAAAAATTCGTATTGTACGTTCAGCTAATGCGTTAGTTTTTGGATAAGGTGTCGAAAGTATATGGCGTATGTTATTTAAATCACAGTACAGACAAAATTGTCCAGATAAGAATTGTGGTCTAGCTAGTGTCTGACATAATACATTTGGTTATCCAAACCAAGTAAACCATTTTTTAAAATCGTTTTATCATAGCATCAGCAGTGGTAGTCTGCATTAGATCAACTTCTAGCCATTTGGAGTAAGAATCTACACCAATTAGCCAATACCGTGAATCTACTTGTTTGTTAAAATCAATATAAATAAGCTTTCAAGATTCCTTACTTCAAGCCCAAGAATACAGAGGTACTTCTTGAATTTCGGGTCTATTCTTCTGGCATCCACAGCATATTTTGATAATTTTCTTTATCGATATCACTTCTGGGTATGAATAATATAATCTAAAAATCGATTTTCATTACATTTTCTCCAGGACGTCCTCGATGAATTGTTTCAAGCACTGCATTCCTTAATTTTAAGTGGATATAACTAGTAAAGGTGAATGGTCCAGTCCTATCGGTCTTAGACCGGGAGACTGATATTTTTTGATGACTGTGGTTCTGACCGGTATTTTATTAATATTTAAGTTTGATTCTCATTATTCATTTAATATTATTTATTTTTTTACCAAATTTTATCTTATATTATTTTAGAGGTGTTATTTTAGTTTTTGTGAATTCTTGGTTCATTTTTATTTTGCAATATGAAAACCATAAGATTTTTTTCAGAAGCATTTTACTTATAGTCCCAATAAACAAGAATTAAATTAGGTAAAAACGAAAATATTTAAAAAAAAATAAAAAGACCATTCCTGGACTGGCCTTTTTATCTAGGACCATGGTCTGGATAGATCTTATTTTAAAAGACCATGGTCCAGTCCGAGTGCATTGGTCTGATAAGAACCAAAGACTAGACCGTGACGTTCCCTAGGTTATAATTCTTCACATCGATTCAATCAAAATTTTGCCAACTTTGCTGAATATGCTGTTGTCTTTTTTTAAAATTAAATCTTGCTTAGACTTTTTTCTGACAAATACATTTCATCCAAATTTATAGACATATTGAGAATCTTGATTCTTTTCATGTCCAATATCGGAATCCTTGATATTGTAAAACCAGTTTCAGGAGCAGATTTTCAATAATTTTAGGAATTTAGTAGTTTGTTAATATTGCCTGCCAATCTAATCACCTAAATTCCAAATATTGAGGTCAAGAATAACCTTTTATTTTGATAATTCTATTGATACCTATGCAAAAGAGAGCAGGTCCTAAGGAGTCATTTTACTGGATCCCTTATTGAGATTTAATAATATAATCTTGATTGAAATGGTTCAGGTGCATATCTATTCAATATGAAGTAAGATTTTGAGGAAAACGTTTTTTTATTGGATCCAGGTTTCTCTCATTAAGGTTTTCAAGTCTCATTGTCTGAGACCTCAATATCTCACCCATCATTCACCTTAATGTTTTGTAATTTTCATGCATAAAAAATCTTTCAAGATAAAATTAAATTTTTAAAAAAAATGGATTATTTGTTTTAACTAATCTTCAAATGCTCTAAATTTAGGTTTACAATTATATATCATTATGCTTTATCAGTAAGATATAATGATATGAAATTTATTTAAAATATATTTTAGAAGTAAGCATGATGAATAAGATTTAAAAAAATGGCAAACATTTTAATATTTATATTAATTAGAATTTTATTTTAAAAAATATAGTAAAAACACAAATGCAAAATTTAGATAAATACAATTTTAAATATTAATAATTTGCAATTAATATTACCAAACATAAAAAATGCCCTCATGACAGTCATAACCTTAGGCGTTGAAAATTGTAAGAGATAACCTAGACAAAATAATGTATTTGCTATTTGGTATAGAAAATGTTGCTGGTCCATCATTTTTTTTATATGAAAACAGCTGTCTTTATAAGATAAGTCATTTAATCGAAAGATTTATAAAAGAATTTGTAAATCTCAACAATAAAAATTTAAATTGTTATCATAAGCATCAACTAAAGCTAAACATCCCCAATTATTTTCAAAACTGTTTCTATAATTTGGTCATGTCTACATAAGAAAAGGGATGGGGGGGGGGGGGGGTAGGAACAGTTTGCATCCTTCGGGGTAGTAAGTAGGCGCCTAGAGGGTTGGGATAAATTTATAAGGGGGTTATCAATAATATTGGATAAATATATGCTGTAAAAATTATTACATTTATCATAGACCTATTAAATACAATGATATTGCTGATCATCAAATTTATATATTACAAACTATCATAAACATTATTCCTAATAAAACATTCGGCAATCCTTTTAAATATAATTTAAAAAGGTTAAACATTCAACAAACTCATATTCATGTCAAATAATATGCTATAATAATATATTCATGTAAATGAGGGTGGGGGGGGGAGGGGGTTGTAATTGAATTCATGATCTAAAAATAACTTTTACATTCACAAAATTTTGATAGTTAGAAATAGAGCTAAGATAATTTCTTTTTAAAATTTACGAAAGGAGTTTATAATTAAAAAGGTGTAATTAATAGGATTTAGTCAAGTCTATATTCAGAAAGTTTCAGTGGAGAGGGGCAAAAGCTTATTTGGAGGATAAAATTTTTTAAATATTTTAATGGCCACTAGACACATATTTGAAGATTAATTTAGGAACATAAGTTTCTTTGAGATGGGAAATAGCATCTCATTCTTGTGACCTTTCTATAGGACTGGATGATGAAAACAATAGTTAAAATTTCTGAAAAAACAAATTGTATAGAGGGCACTGAGTTTTAATTTGGTGACGTAATTCTTTTCAGCCGCCAAAATGTCCTTGATACGTAATAAATCGGTTTCTCCTGGCCAGTAAGAAATCCTGCAGCAGCTACTAGACATCTCCTAGCGTGTTACAAGAAATCACGACAGGAATATCGACTGAATAAGAAATTATTGTATCCTCTTTTGATAATAATATTTTAACGTTATTAAATATTTTATTTTCCAGATCTGACCAAAACCAATTAACATTACTCATTAGTAAGTGTATAGTCGCGCAAATAGAATGTAAATTTATATAAGACTCATGGTTCACCATGCAAAGAAATGAATATAATTCTATTACATTTAACGTTGTTTTACAATTTTTCATAGCAATAATTTTATGTTCTATAGAGTAAATTTTGAATTAGTCAAAAACTTGATGGCCTAAATAAGTAACTGACTTTTCTCCAATTTTAATTTTATTGGTAGTAATTTTCAGTCCAGCCTTATCAAATCTTCTTAATACTTCTTCTAAATTAACTGTATGATCAAAATTATTCTTGTCCGCAATTATTACGTTGTCTAAAAATATACTAACCATCGGAATTCATTTAATGGGTTTTTCATAGCGTTGAAATATTATCCTAACACTAGTCAACCCAAAAGGATTCTTAGGTATAGCTAACTGACAGGAGTCAAAATTACTAAAAGGTCCTTACATTTTGGACTAACTCCGAATCATAAAAATGCATCATTTATATCTATGAAAATATCTTACCACCCGTGATCCTATTTGTCAGGTCGTCGTTAGTTGGTAGCAAATCGTTATCTATTGCTAAATATTTGTTGATTGTTCGAATATCTCTGCATATCCGCACGAGACCTTATTTCTTTAAGATATTAACCATTGTTATTGAAGGACTAATTATGTTACATGTTGTGAGATACTTATAATTATGAATCTATTTCATCGTAAAAATCCATTTTTCTCACATTTATAGGGGGCATATTTATTTACTGCATAGTTATATTGTTCTAAAACCTACTTATTTGAGAAAGCTATCATTATATTTGGTAATCATTAAATCACTATATCCTAAATAGTGCTATTCATCAGAAGAAATAATTTTTCTAGTCCTACTGTCCTGGGTATTCCAAATCTCATTAGAAAATTCGAAAGTTAAAGTGTTGCAGTATTCTAGTGTTTATTTATTCAAACAAGTTTTAATTACAATGTGTTCTATCTTTTTTGCTACTATTAATGTGCATTTATAATCAAAATAAAAGTCGTCCCATTTTCATTAAAATAAATTAGTGTCAAAACCATATGTCGATTTAACGGAATCTATCCTACGGCATAAGATATAAAACACTTTTAACTTACTAAATAATTTAGCAAAATAGTATTACAAATATTGTCTCCTAAAATTCCTTAACATGAAATATAATACTTGAATTTCTAAGCACTCGTAATTGAGGGAATTTTCTTATTAACTTAATATGAAAGGGTCTTAAGTTTACCGCTCAAAGTAATAAATTATATTTTAATTGTTATTACACTATGATATAGGGGCTTGAAAATGCAAATTAAACCTATTTAGCATGGCATTACAAACTATATATATGTATTCAGCATATGGATGACATTAAATTCGCAGCAATTATGAAATATCATTTCTAAAAAATAATTAAACCTTACTATATACAAAATAATCAATGTCATTGATACTCTTAAAGATTTCTAACATGCTTGCATATATTTTGTATTATGTAAATGGGGTAATTAGTGATTGATTGTGGTACTTATTTTGGTGAGGGGGGTAAAGAGATGACTTAAAGCGGAGACCTAAAGAATTCGGAATCTTATCACCAGCCCGGATTTTTAAAAAAAATCTAAGCCTCACCTAATTTTATAAAAATTAATTATTATTTTACGCCTGGGGGAATTATTAAAATCTCGGTTGTTGTGAATAATTATGAATGTATTCATCAGTACATTGTTTTAAAGAGAAAATTTTGGGGGATATAAGCAATGAATATAAATGATTTTAAATTTTGAACCTCTAAACCCCGGTCTTAAAACTTTTGCTTACAAAAATATTAGATTTTGATTTGTCATTTATAATATACTATATGCGTAATAATAATCTAGTGTTGTTAAACTGCCTATCTTTAGTAAACTATAAACTATAGCGTAGTTATATTTTTATCCAGATACATCCTAAATAATCTTCAAGTTGAGGCTCAACTTAGAAGCTAAATTTAATTTTTTAGTTCTAAAAGCTCGACTAAAACACAATAGAGATGGTCAAAGTTAGATAATTTAACAAAACACAGTGTCTACATGAGCGGAGGGGGGGGTAGGAACAGTTTGCATCCTAATATCTATAAAGGGGTAGGTAGGTGGTAGAGGGTAGGCATTTTGGGGGGTAGGCTTATAATCTAGAAAATTTTCCATTATATTTTTAAATTATCTATGGATAACATTTTGGTATTTTTAGGGGGGTAGATATATATTTTTGATGGGGGTTTACATCCAGTTGTCATGTAGACTCTGACAACACATAATCAAGATTGATTCGTACATATTAATTAAAACTAATCGGATCATGATTAGAATTTTAGCAATATACTGGTAATAACTTTCACACTTTTGTTATAAGCACAAAATCACGTGGCTAGAAGCGGTTCACATTAAATTTAGCGGTTGGGTTTAGGTTAGGATAGAAAATCTTTTAACGGTTTAGGCTTGATCAAAAAAAATTACCCGGGTAATACATGTTTTAAGGTTCGATCTGGACCCATTATTAAATTTGAAATTTTAATTATTATTTTATTTTTGTAAAAAAATTTTTTTAAAAATATATTTCAAGATTCCCAGTGCGCTTGCCTTGCTACAAACACGTGCTCGAAAAATAAGCTCACCTATGTTTATTCACAAAAGGGTTTAAATAAAAATCATTCAATATTATTCTAGTAAGATGTGACAGGTTATAATATCAATGAGGATTTAGATATTCACAATTTTAGAATATTTTTCGAAGGCTATTTTTATATGAATTTAAGGTAAAATATATTCCAGCTTGTATAGAGTATGCGCATTGTGAATTTGTTACAATTTTGCCCCGAACTTCCTTAAAATTTATTTTATACGATTCATATTAAATAAGCGCGTTTCGAAATTAAGGGAAGAACTTTGTTAAAAAATTCTTTCTTTCGATATTTCAAAATAAAGATTACCCCGTTGACATATCTTCAAAATATATTTAGTAAAATGAGATATTTAACTAAATTTTAGCTGTTGTAACACGGCATATTCTACGAGGTAGATTTAAATCCCTAATACGGAACATTGTGTGTCTTAAATAGAGCTGCATATATATTTATTACTTTATTCATTATAATACAGTAATTCCTTCGGAACTTGAAGTCCGAAGATGTTTTACGAGACCAACTGTAGGAGATATAAGCTGCAGTGCCACCTATTTCGTTAATCAGGATCAACCTAATAAACCAGATTTATTTAGCGTAGGTAAGGAATACAAAAATAGAATTAACTTTATCGAGATACAAAACTTTGTAACTATTATTCATTTTTAGCTATCAGACTAATTGATTCTGAAGGTACAGTCCTTAGCACTATTCAATTACCCATGGGTGGTACTATAACAGTCGATGGAGTTCAAATTACAAGTACTCGTGTTAACAGAGGGCCTTTCAAAGGAGATCAAGTCGTATTTCCAACTTCATTAAGTACGATTGGCAACCAGGCTTGCCTAGTGGTAATTTAATTTTCGAACATTCTTGATATTTAGTTTGCATTTATATCTGTTATTTTTTTTAAACAGATATGTTGAGTAAATTTTTATTGGAATACATTGAGAAGTAACTAAATTAGAAGCGATATTTTTCGATAACAAAATGTATTTATTTTATAAATTGTTTTAAAATTTGTTATGTTCATTAATCATAAAAAAAAACAGCTGACTAAACTTACAAACGCAATAAAGGGAGCTAAAGTCAATTACGAAATAGCATACGGGAACTAAATAAATTAAATTTTTCTACTAATCACCTGGGTTTCATTTTATCTCAATTCTTATCCAATCACTTCAAAAATATGATTTTTTCTTATTCGTAATAATAATTATCTAAATATATATATTT